TTGTACACCTATGGATGAGGACAGTGGAGGGGAGGGGGGTAAGGGCAGAAGGGTGGGTGGGAACCGGGTGGAGGGGTGCTATGGGGGGGGAGGGGAAGAGGAACAACTGTAATAATCTGAACAATGAAGATTTAATTTAAAAAAAAGAATAACTGATTTTAAATGTACATTTAAAAAATATCTTCACCCCAGGATATTTTTCCATTAATTTTTTAGAGAGGGTGGAAGTGAGGTGGTAAGAAGGAGAGAAACATTGATGTGGGAGAGACACATCCATTAGTTGCCTCCTGCATGCATGCACGCTGATGGGACCCAGGAATCAAGCCTGCAACCAAGTTACATGCCCTTGACAGTAATTTAACTCCAGACCTTTCAATGCCCAAGTCAACACTCTATCCATGGAGCCAAACTAGATAGGGATAAAATGTATATTTTTTAATGTACACTTTTGATTTTTCCATATATGCCTGCAACCCTGCAACCAAGGTCCTCTTGCCCTTATCATTGCTTCTTTCATGGCATATAAAATAACTGATGCAAGGGCATATTCTGCCTTTGTAATAGTTTACTTGAAATATATTCATATAAATACAACATTTATGAAACCACATGAATCCTATCCTAGCCTTCCATCATTGTCTATAGTCATGGAGGTTCATGGTGGTCCAAACTTAGGGAGGGGGGCACCAACCACCACGCACCCTCCCAACGTGATATCATGTTGGGACCAATCCTCTCCTTCTGGAAAAGCTGGTATCGCTATTCCATGGAATGTTCTTACCATTGTTGAAAATGCTGTGTATTTTCCTTTCTCTTTTAAAATATATTTTTATTGATTTCAGAGAGGAAGGGAGAGGGAGAGAAGAAACATCAATGATGACAGAGAATCATTGATCAGCTGCCTCCTGCACGCCCCACACTGGGGATCAAGCCCACAATCCAGGCATGTGCCCTGACTGGGAATTAAACCTGTGACCCTTCAGTCCTCAGGCCGATGCTCTATCCACTGAGCCACACCAGGTAGGTAATGCTGTGTATTTTCAATGGAATGCTCTTTCCACTGAAAATACACAGCACCCTTTCCTAGAGAATCCATTATACCTCCAGGACTGGCTATGGCAGGGGTGTGCAGGGACGGGGAGGCTTTATTTTTAATAAAATCAAAGTGGAAAATTCCCCCCAAAATGCAAAATCAGAGCCTCAAGCCATACCACTAGGCCTCAGAGGTGTGAGTGTTCTGGCTAGAGGCAGGACTTTGCAAAGGTGAACTGAGGTGTGGGTGCAAAGCATCATGGGCTTCTCCCAGATACAGAAGGAGGTGCAGCTGCAGTGAACCAGGTGCTGGGGGGATGAGGAGGAACAGGCTGGAGAGACCTCTGGATGGAGACAGAAGAGCCCTTGCCAGCTCCTGTCAGGCAGACACAGAACCCAGGTCCCTCCCAGGACCTTCCCTGGGGCTTCTCTCTGCCAAATCTTGGAAAGTACATAGTGAGCCCAACTGCAGGGGGAACATCCCAGGAAAAGGCAAGAAATAGTGAGGAGGGGTTGGCTATGCAGGCAGAGGAACCCATCTCAGGGTAGCAGTGGTGGATGGCTCTTTTTTATATATAACTAGTGGCCCAGTGCATGAAATTCATGCACGGGGGGGGGGGGGCGCTCAGCCTGGCCTGCACCCTCTCCAATCTGGGACCCCTTGGGGAATGTCTGACTGCCGGTTTAGGCCCAATCCCACAGAGACCACTGGCTCCTAACCACTCATCTGCCTGCCTGATCACCCCTAACCACTCTGCTTGCCAGCCTGCTCGCCCCCAACTGCTACCCCCACTGCTGGCCTGACTGTCCCCAACTGCCCTCCCCTCCCCTTCTGGTCTGATCACCCCTAACCACCTCTGCCGGCTCCACCACCATGGCTTTGTCTGAAAGGACATCCAAAAGGTCTCCCAATCTAATTAGCATATTACCCTTTTATTAGTATAGATCCTCACACGAGGATATTTCTCCATTGATTTTTAGTCAGAGTGGGGTAGGGGAGAGAGAGAGAGAGAGAGAGAGAGAGAGAGAGAGAGAGAGAGAGAGAGAGAACGAACATGGAAAAGAGAAACATGGAATAGAGACATATTAACTGGAGAACTTCTGCACGAGCCCCAATAGTGTCTGGGAATTAAACCTGCAACCCATGTACATGCCCTTGACAGGGAATCTAATTCTCCACTCTTCAGGTGTTTCTGCTGATGCCTTTACCATTGAGGCGCACTGTCTAGGCCAGGATGAATGTTTACCCCGTAAGGAAAGATGAGGACCACTTTCTCTCTCTAGATTGACAAATATCTACAACCTCTTTCAGTGGCTAAACTTCAAGACACTTGCAGACCAGGAGAGGACCACCTGGCTCAGCAACCTATAACCCCTCCTGCTGGGCAGATAGGGAATCAGCCTCTGCAGAGACAGCTCCTCTCCCTCCCTGGGCAGGGCAATGGCTGGAGCACCTCATTACAGTGGACGAGGTTGGCCCTGCCTGGGACACATGTTTTCTTGGAGCACAAGCTGGCTCCCAGAACATTACCCCCAGGGAACTTACGCAGCAGAGCTTGCTCCACTTCCCACTCACCATGGCCCCAAAGAACAGAGCGGCCACCAGGCTTCACTGGGACTAGAGCGGGCCTCAGAGCCACACACATGGCCCAGCACCAACTCTCCCTGGCAACTGCCTGGGCTTTGTTCTGCCCACACCCACCTGCCCAGCAGCCACTGCTGCTCCCAGCCTTGACACCTGAGAGGAACCTGGCTCCTCAACCCCCTGAATCCAAATTAGCTCAGGCTCAACCCCTGGCTGGAAGGGGCAGAGACCACAGGGAGCATGCCCAGGCCGAGCTTTTCCCAGCCCCTCAGGTTGTAGTCTCAGGGAGCACAAGTGTCATCATCCCCTGTGAGTGAGTGTGCAGCTCAGCACCAGTCCCTAACAGCCACACTGACAGCAGGAGCACCTCCCCTCCTGTTCTCCCCCTCACTGTGCTCTGTCCTCAAGGGAAGCCTGGCTGCTGTTTCATCACTGGGTATCTCATCTGTGCTGATGTTTACATGTTCTAACTAACTGGATGAGAAAAACATTAAGACCTTGATTTGAAAGTGAGAAAAATTTGGAGAGAAACATCGATTTGTCGTTCCACTAATTTGTACATTCATTGTTTGATTCTTCTATGTGCCCTGACCCAGAATGCACCTTGTAACCTCGGTGTTATGGAGATGATACTCTGAGTTACTTTATCAGAGCCCCAAGTATCTGTAGTTTTAAGAAAAATCACCTGAGAATAGATAGATACAATGACCATCATGATTACAAACAGTAATGGAAGGCTAGAATAGGATACATGGCTTTCCTAAGTGTTTTTTTTTAATATGGATATATTTGAAATAAGGTGGTACAACAGTGGATTATATTCTTGATGAGTAATTTTTTCTGCTGAGGAAGCCCTGAAAAAGGCAGGAGGAATTTATTTTAAGAGATGCAGACATGTATGGAAACATCAAACAAATATCTAAATACCTGATATAGTTTGGTGGGTGTCACTCAGTGTTTTGAGTGTTGACATATAAACCAGGAGGTCATGGTTCCATTCCTGGCCATGGAATGTTCTCAGGCTGCAGGCTTCATATCAGTAGGGGGAATGCAGGAGGCAACCGATCAATGAGTCTCTCTCACCATTGATGTTTCTATCCCGCCCTCTCTGAAAGCAATAAAAATACAGTGGGGCCTTGACTTACGAGTTTAATTCGTTCCGAGACAGAGCTCGTTAACTCAAATTACTCTATCAACTCAATGCAAAAAATCGGCCGAGAGACAGCTGGTATCTCAAAAAACTCGTTAGTTGGGACACTCGTAAGTCAACACCCCACTGTACATTTTAAGCCCAGGCCGGTTTGGCTCAGTGGATAGAGCATCAGCCTGTGGACTGACGGGTCCTGGGTTCAATTCCGGTCAGGGGCACATGCCGGGGTTGCTGGCTCAATCCCCAGTAGGAGTGTGCAGGAGGCAGCCAGTCAGTGATTCTCTCTCGCCATTGATGTTTCTATCTCTCTCTCCCTGTCCCTTCCTCTGTGAAAGCAATAAAAATATATTTTAAAATATACATATATATTTTAATGTATGTTTTAAAGCAATTATACTTAAAGTTTAAAACTAGCCACTTCCTTATTATTTACTATTTTATTATGATTGTTCTTGAGCATATCTGTACCTACTGTGTCAGTAAGTTGGAAATAAAATATAATGATTTGCTACTGAAATATATTTTCATGTCCATGTTCAGTGCCATCATTTTGGCAGATTGAAACTAACCATGATAACGGTATTTATAATAGGAAAATTAATAAAGATTAGAACTTAGACTCTTCACTTAATGTATGAGTGGATGCTTAGACTTAAAAAAGAGTGTTGTAGAATGTTAACAATGCAGCTTAAACCTGTAAGTATATGGTACAAGTGAGTTTAAATTGTACATAGAATAAAAATTGTAAAAAAAATTTCCATTCCAATATTCAAAACCTATGGTTGCATAGAGCAAAGAAGTCACTTGAGACACTGAGGGATGAGTGAACTTCAAACAGGTCTTAAATTGTGCACTGTTCTCCTACTGGTTAGAATAATAAATTCATTTTAAAAATCGGTAAAAGATTCTGAGCAGACATTTTAACGAATATGATAAAGGCAGTGTAAATAAATGTATGAAAAAATGCTCACCAGCAAAAATTCTTAGGTAAATTGAATTAAAACAAAAGTGAGTTAATACTCTACTCATTTACGGTGTTAGTATGTAAAAAAATTAACCGGGGCATGTGCTGACATGGTTGCAAAAGTACTGGAATTTCAATACTGTGGGTGGGTAGGTGTGAAGGCAAAGGGAATGGCCATTTTAGATCACAGTTCCACATATATTACAATGTGAAACATTCACCTACACATCAACAGTTTGATAAGTAAAACATATATCTATATAGAGAAGTGAACACAAATATTCCCAACAGATTTATTTATAATACCCCAAACATGGAATTAACCAAAATCATAGATAGATCAATAAAGTGGTAATTCACAGAACACAATACTACTCAGCAATAAAATAATTAACTATTCACATCAGCATTAGTGTTGACTCTCAAAATAACAGTGCAGCATGAAGGAAACCAATATTTGTTAAAGTGCACACACCTTCTAGTGCCTATAAAATTATGAAAAATATGCACTAATGTGTTGTAATGGAAGGAAAATCAATGCCTCTATGGGGGGCTGGGGAAGGCAGAGGGATTATAAAAGGGCAAGAGGCAAATATGGGGTGTGTGGAAAGCAGGTTTAGAGCTGTTGGTATGGCATGAAATAATAATAATACAAGAATATACTGTGACCTCACCAGTGTTGCTCAGTTGGTTGGGCATTATCCCTGACCCTTCAAGTTCACTAGATCCATTTCAGATCCTTGAACCCCAGTAGGGGGTGTGCAGGAGGCAGCAAATCTCTCTCATATATACGTTTCTCTTTCTCCCTCCCTTCCTATCTCCCAAAAAGAATCAATAAAAATGTTTTAAAAATAAACTCTCTATTTTGGGTGCTCATACCTGTAACCTATTTTTGCTCCACTGTACATAATGTTGACAGATAAGTTTGTTTCATGTGCGACAGTTTCACAGCTTTATATGTACATCAAAGTTCACCAAATAGAACACGTAAGAAAACTGCAGTTTTTTGCATGTCAGTTCTCATATCATAGGAGGAATAGCCTTGCCTTAGTGGCAGCAAATATCAGCAAGCAGTAAAGACTTTTGCCAGCAGAATCAACAGGGATGCTGACAGGTTACAAAATCCACAACTTAGGATTGACTACAAGATTATCCTTCCTCTACCTTTTAGATCCTGTCTATTGAGCATAAACCTTGAGGTGAACACCCTCGAGGGGCCAGCAGAAACACCACCACCATAAGAGTATTTGCTCTACCAATGACTTCAGCCACAAGAAAGTTATGCAGGTTCTGAGAATGTCTGTACACAAACATCCCACAAGTCACAGGCCCTGGAAAATTTGTGGAAAACATTCAAAAGAGGCATTTTTTAAACCAATTTACTGCAGTCTCTCGCACTCGCTATTGATTGGAGCAGTGCTTCTGTCCTAATTGTGGTTGCACCTAATCCTCAAATTCTTACAACGAATGACACCGGTTTATGAAATTTAGTGCATCATGGTATGCAGATTATTGCTGAGACTTATGTCATACACACTGTGAATGGAGAATATAATTCATATTGTTCACAGAAGCACAACAAAGTGACCTTTGACCTCACCAATAATAGAGGTACCAGGCTGCAATATAGAACCATAAAGTTCCGCAGTCTTGCTTTCAAGACTTTGGGCAGAAATGCAAAATAAGCAAATATTGGGAAAAAACTGATTTTCTGCCATCGTGATGTCCCTTCAGAAGCACTGAAAGTTTGGGATCCCCACAATATCTCTTCACCTCTACCTGCCGACAGATCACAATTGTGCTTTCAATTCATCCCAGGCAGAGAACAGAACCAATAAATTAAAGGTACAAATGCAAAAAGCACCTTTAGAAAAAGATCATAAACCAGAGCCATATACAGCAAGTGGTTTGCATGTTGGTGAATAGCTACCTAAAAAAATTCATCACAGCACAATGTGAGAAGCACAATGTACCAGAAAGGCATAGCGTAGCGATTCTCAACCTGTGGGTCGCGACCCCTTTGGGGGTCGAACGACCCTTTCACAGGAGTTGCCTAAGACCATAGGAAAACACATATATAATTACATATTGTTTTTGTGATTAATCACTATGCTTTAATTATGTTCAATTTGTAACAATGAAATTGGGGGTCACCCCAACATGAGAAACTGTATTAAAGGGTCGCAGCATTAGGAAGGTTGAGAACCACTGGCATAGTGCATCTTAGGATGGTGGTCTGGGGGAAACAATGGTTAGGTCCAGTCCTTAGTCAGAGACAAAGGAGTAAAGATCCTAAGAGCTCGGAGTACTCATCATTTCCTCAAACATAAGTAAGAATACAGAATTCATTTTTTACTGAGCACACAGGACTTCCCACAATCAGTACACACATACAGCTTTTCTCCAGTGTGAATGCTCTGATGTTGAATGAGGGCAGAGAACTAAATAAATGACTTCCCCCCAGAGGCACATACTGTTCAGGTGAACCAGGTGGTAAAAGTGAATTACTTTCAGCCACATATACTCACAGTGACATCAATTAGGTAGTAGGCCTGGGTAGGACAGCAAGTGCAATGCAACACTTTAAAGGCTCACTTACAGCTGAAACTTAGGAGGAATCTAGCATAGTGTATGTTCTGATAAAAAGGGGTCTAATATCAGCTAAATGGGTCTGTAGGAATCTCCTTCAGTGTTGTAAAACTGAGTGAAAAAATATGTCATTCCCTGCATATTGAAGGCTTTTTCTGCAGTGTGAAGGCTTAAGTGTCTAACCAGGCTATATTTCTGACTAAAACATTTCCCACATTCACTACACTCATAAGGTTTTTCACCACTGTGAACTCCCTTGTGTCGAGTGAGGTTACTGCTTTTACTGAAGGACTTCCCACAATCAGAACACTCATAGGGCTTTTCTCCAGTGTGGACTCTGTTGTGTTCATTGAGGTTAGACCTTCTTTGGAAGGACATCCCACAATTGCTACACTCGTACGGATTTTCTCCATTGTGAACTTTGTGGTGTTGAATGAGGATATCACTGTGTGTAAATGACTTCCCACAGTCACTACACTTATATGGCTTTACACCAGTGTGAACTCTTTTGTGGATAAGGAGGCTATTACTGCGGGTAAAAGATTTCCCACATTCACTACACTCATAAGGTTTTGCACCACTGTGAATACTCTGGTGTCGAGTGAGATTACTGCTTTTACTGAAGGACTTCCCACAATCAGAACACTCATAGGGCTTTCCTCCACTATGAACTCTCTGATGTTGAGTGAGGGTACTGCTATGCCTAAAGGACTTCTGACATTTACGACACTCATATGGCTTTTCTCCAGTGTGAACTGTCTTGTGGATAAGAAGGTGATTACTGCAGGTAAAACATTTCCCACATTCACTACACTCATAAGGTTTTTCACCACTGTGAATTCCCTTGTGTCGAGTGAGGTTACTGCTTTTACTGAAGGTCTTCCCACAATCAGAACACTCATAGGGCTTTTCTCCAGTGTGGACTCTGCTGTGTTGAATGAGGGTATAACTGTGTGTAAATGACTTCCCACAGTCACTACACTCATAAGGTTTTGCACCACTGTGAACTCTCTTGTGGATAAGGAGCTCACTATTGCGGGTAAAAGATTTCCCACATTCACTACACTCATAAGGTTTTGCACCACTGTGAATACTCTGTTGTTGAGTGAGGTTACTGCTTTTACTGAAGGACTTCCCACAATCAGAACACTCATAGGGCTTTCCTCCACTATGAACTCTCTGATGTTGAGTGAGGGTACTGCTATGCCTAAAGGACTTCTGACATTTACGACACTCATATGGCTTTTCTCCAGTGTGAACTGTCTTGTGGATAAGAAGGTGATTACTGCAGGTAAAACATTTCCCACATTCACTACACTCGTAAGGTTTACCACTGTGAACTCTCTTATGTCGAGTGAGGTTACTGCTTTTACTGAAGGTCTTCCCACAATCAGAACACTCATAGGGCTTTTCTCCAGTGTGGACTCTGCTGTGTTCACTGAAGTTAGACCTTTTTTTGAAGGACTTCCCACAATCGCTACACTCATACAGATTTTCTCCATTGTGAACTCTGTGGTGTTGAATGAGGGTATAACTGTGTGTAAATGACTTCCCACAGTCACTACACTTATATGGCTTTACACCAGTGTGAACTCTCTTGTGGCTAAGGAGGTTATTCTTGCGGGTAAAAGATTTCCCACATTCACTACACTCATAAGGTTTTGCACCAGTGTGAACTCTCTTGTGGATAAGGAGGTTATTGTTGCGGGTAAAAGATTTCCCACATTCACTACACTCATAAGGTTCTGCAGCACTGTGAACTCTCTTGTGGAAAAGGAAATGACTATTGCAGGTAAAAGATTTCCCACATTCACTACACTCATAAGGTTTTTCTCTAGTGTGAATTCTCTGGTGTTGAGCGATGGTACTGCTTTGATTGAAGGACTTCCTGCACTCATGACACTCATACAGCCTTTCTCCAGTGTGGCCTTTGTGTCGTTGAATGAGTTTGGACCTCAGGATGAACTTCCCACGATCACTACACTCATATGGCTTTTCTGCAGTGTGAACTCTCCTATGACGAATGAGGTTAAAGATTTCTCTAAAAGCTTTCCCACATTTGTTACACTCACAATTCACTTCTCTGGAGCCGACACCCTGATGTTGAACAACTTTCTGGTTGTGGCTGGCAGCTTTTTTACATTCACCCCACTCGTCATGACTTCTTCCACTGAGAAATTCCTGTGGAATCTCACTACCACTGTGTGGCTCCTCAGTGGTAAAAGTGGCCTGGAGCTGGAGAATGTCTGAGATGGCTGGCAAGTCTTCCCCAACCTCCCTAATGGTTGAAGGCAGCCATGTTAAGTAAAAGCTGCACTGGGACACAAATGAGGCCCTGTCCATATCTTCTTTCCAGGGCTTCTCTCCACTGGCATCTCTCTGTTGCTGGTGAGGGTTTGCACTGAAACTGAAGTCTCTCGCACATTTGTCAGTGAAGAAGGCTTTCTGCTCAAAGTATGCTGCTTGTAACTCAGTCAGGTGCAAAATATCTTTTAACACTGAGAAACACTTACAAAGATGGGTCTTCTGGGTTGCTGGAGCTGTCTTAAAAGCCCTGACTTGTGACTCTCCTGGTACATATTCACTCTGCTCACAATTGGCCTCCTCATCATCCATTTTATGCCAACAACCTGAAAATAGTAAAATGGTGAGGAAATGAATACTGTGGTGACAGATGGAAGTCCCTTTAGAAAACTGTGTTGCACATAACACGTTGGTTCCATGCAACTGTCTCACAATAAAAGATCTGTAGGAAGGATTTATAAGATGCTGCCATGAATGTCTGGGCTATGGAAGATCACAAAACGAGGAAGACCTCAAACGAAATATGACACACACATGGCAAGCACCACATGGAAGAGAAGCAGGATTGTCAGCTCATTCTTCTGCTAACAGTGTTCAGCAAGGCTTGTCTGCTGGTGACATGCGCAAGCTGTGCTGAAATATGGTTGTCTTATTCCAAATAATATTCAATAACTTAGTAGCTGGTGTTCGAGAACTACTTAAGCATGTATGTGCATCTCATAACACATGTGCAGGTCAATGTTGGAGAATACTGCAGATGGAGCAATGCAGACAAACAGGCGATGGAAAAAGACTACAAAGGTGAAGGTAGTCAAAGGCCAGGAAGTTACAGATGAAATGACAAGTCAGCAAAGTGCTCAGTATGGGAAAGAAAAGGTAGAAATCTGCTGTTGCCCATGGTACTTACACCTAATCACTGTTGGAAATGAGCAGGTGCTTGGTATCACCTAAACACACCCTTACATCATATCTAGCCCACAGTTGCAACTCAACTGGGCCAGGCCTCTTCTGAGACCATCCTCTGAAAAAAACAGGGTTCTCCCTGCACATTCTTCTCTACAAATACGTACAACATAAATATTCCAAGTATTAATGAAAGACCACAGAGATGAGCATCCAGCACTGGCCTAGAGCAATTTGGCTTACAACAGTATTTATAGAAGGTAATACTACAAACAAGAACTGAAGTGTGATCTTGTAAGAAGAGCTCAAGGTTCATGTAAGTAAAGGCCATAACCTGGCACAGGCAGTCACCAAGGACCTTTGGCTAGAGGAAGGAGGTAGAAATGGAAGCCATGGATCTGGACATAGACGCCTGCAAGGGAGAGGAACAGCAGGTGGGACCCATTAAGCTGTCTGTAAGACTCCTGACTCCCAGACACATCCTGCACTGTCTGAGGCAGCTAGCACTAGGGATGTTTGTGGAGTCTATCACTCAGGGCTCTGACTAGACCTCACCCATGGCAGCCACAGCACATTTGACATGACAATGGGGGAAATAAGCAGAGCCCATGGTCTGCTGTAGGAGAGAAAAAGCTACATCTGAGGAATAAAGGAAGAGAGGACGTCACCTCAGACACTGAAAGAATGTGAAGGTCTTACCTACAGATGATACAAGTGCAAAAACATCCAGCATCACATCGCAGTAGAGAAGTCTCTGAGGTTCATCAAGGAGCCCCCACTCCTCCTGAGAGAAGACAATGGCCACGTCCTCAAAGTTCATATCCTGTCATAATGGGGACAGTACAGCCCATGATTAGATTCATTCCTAAGATTCGAACTCTGTCATACTCCCCACCCTCAATATCTATCAGCTCTCTCAACTTCACACACCAGAGAAGATACCAGGCCTTCATCCCATAAAATTCACTGTCTTCTTATATTCCTACTGATATTTTGTCTTCCCACAACAATAAAGGCAGTTGAGCAGATAGAAGATACCTGAGCAATGGGCTTCCCATGTATGCTGCACGTCGTCTTGACAATAGAGTGGGTGTCAAGAACATAGGGTAGGAAGAGATGTTGGCCATAAAGAGAATGTGAGTGATTTGATACCAGTCTTGTCAGGCAATACCCAATACCTTTGTGTCCCTCAGATTGTTCCTCAAAGACACCAAAAACATGGCATCATACTTCATCCTCTTGACCCCAATCCCAGGGTGTTGAGACCATTGCTTTGCACTACCTGCTGCATATAGTTCTTTGAACAACACTCCTCTCACACAGCTTCATTCCCAGAGGCACAACTTCAAAAGTAATACAAATCTGTCCCAGCGAGGATGGGTTGTTTCCTAATTCCCTCATTTTCCAAAATTATAGATTAATACCTCCATAATCCATTTCTCTCTTACTTTTCTCACTTACCCATGTCAGTGGAGAGTTTACAGCATGGGTAACACTGATGTATGCTATCTCATTCCTATAAACCAGTGTATTTGCCCCCAGCAACAAAAGGCAGCTGGGTAGATAAATGGCATCTAATCTCTGTACCTGGCAGGTAGCACCAAAACACCCCTCTTTTCAGGCAATAAAGCCTAAAATTTTCCTTATTTTATCATCCTTATTTTACCACCAGATATGGACTCTCCCTTCAACTCACTCTTAGGTCAATGTCAGGGCACTCTGGCCATGAATTCACACTCCCTCTCCAAGTGCATATCACTCTTTGTACCACACCTCTCTCACACCTGCACTCCTACATTTCCGGCCCCCAGAGTCATCTCCTTGCCCTCTTACTTATTACTCAGCATGTGTGGTCCAGACACTGCTTGCCAAATTCCAAGAGGACCAAGTTTTGCCCAGATACTGATAATCCACACTCATACAGGCAGCCTTGAGTCCTGCTATGAAGGCCTCTTTTCCTGACTATTTTTTCCTTCAACCTCATCTATTAAGAACCACAATCAGACCTCAGATATCCAGAGCCCACCTCCCCTGATGCTGCACTTGATGTCCCTTTACCAGTCACAGCCAACATACCTCAATGAACCTTCACTCAAGTCCCAGCCCTGATGGCCCTCTGCACCATGCCCAGTGAGTCTCACAGATGCCCACTCAAGCCTCTAAAGCAGTGGTTCTCAACCTTCCTAATGCCGGGACCCTTTAATACAGTTCATGTTGTGGTGACCCCAATTTCATTGTTACAAATTGAACATAATTAAAGCATAGTGATTAATCACAAAAACAGTATGTAATTATATATGTGTTTTCCGATGGTCTTAGGCGACCCCTGTGAAAGGCGACCCCTTGTTCGAGGCCCAAAGGGGTCTCGACCCACAGGATGAGAACCACTGCGCTAAGCTAATCCACAAGACTGTCTGCAACTCCCCACAGCCAGGCCATACCAAGGGTCACAACAAAATCCTGTAAGTGTTTAGAGAAGTTAATATGTACCAGCCCTAGTTTCATCTTGTTTGAATTATTGTTCTGCTTCCAGTTTATCTCACGTCCACTCATCTTTTAAAGGCCTTGGCCACTGCAAAACCATTATCTCTCCCCAAACTCTACATGACAGCTTCTGTCCCTATGCTGTGTTGTGACATCTGCCTTCCACAAACAGGGGCCCAAGCATTAAAGCCAATCCGTAGGCTCACACTGTCCCTTCTGAGCTATTACTACTATTATCATCCTGACCATGATTCCCTGAATTAAAGTGATCTACAGTCCTGGCTGATATCTCTCAGTTGGTTGAGCATTGACTCCATGCACTGAGAGGTTGCAGGTACCAGTACTGGTCAGGCTGGATCCCCAGCAGGTGTCATGCAGGAGGCAACTGATCCTTGTTTCTTGCTCATTGATGTTCTCTGTCTCTTTCCCTCTTCCTTTCTTTCAACATCTATTATCAATACACTACAGGCCTGGTGCACAAAAATTTGTGCACTGGGGGGGTGGCCCTCAGCCCGGCCTTTGCCCTCTCGCAGTCTGGGACCCCTCGGGGGACGACCACTTGCTGGCTTAGGCCTGCTCTCCAGGGGATTGGGCCTAAGATGGCAATCAGACATCCCTCTGGCAGCCCAGGAGCCCTCGGGGGATGTCCACTTGCCAGCAGGGAGCAGGCCTAAGCTGCAGTCGGACATCCTTAGCGCTGCTGAGGAGGCAGGAGAGGCTCCCACCACCACCGCTGTACTGGCAGCCATTAGCCTGGCTTGTGGCTGAGCAGAGCTCCCCCTGTGGGAGAGCACTGACCACCAGAAGGCAGCTTCTGCATTGAGCGTCTGCCCGCTGGTGGTCAGCGTGTGTTATAGTAACCAGTCATTCCCAGTCTTTTTATTTTTTATTTTTTTAGTAAATCTTTATTGTTCAGATTATTACATTTGTTCCTCTTTTTTCCCCCCCATAACTCCCCTCCTCCCAGTTCCTGCCCCACCCTCTGCCCTTACCCTCCCACTGTCCTCATTCCTAGGTGCACAATTTTTGTCCAGTCTCTTCCCGCATCTCCCACACCCCATTCCCCACCAAGAATAGTGAGTCCATTCCCTTTCTATGTCCCTGATTCTATTATAATCACCAGTTCATTCTGTTCATCAGATTATTTATTCACTTGATTCTTGGATTCACTTGTTGATAGATGCATAGTTGTTGTTCATAATTAGTATCTTTACCTTTTTCTTCTTCTTCCTCTTCTTAAAGGATACCTTTCAGCATTTCATATAATACTGGTTTGGTGGTGATGAATTCCTTTAGCTTTTCCTTATCTGTGAAGCTCTTTATCTGATCTTCAATTCTGAATGATAGCTTTGCTGGATAAAGTAATCTTGGTTGTAGGTTCTTGGTATTCATCACTTTGAATATTTCTTGCCACTCCCTTCTGGCCTGCAAAGTTTCTGTTGAGAAATCAGCTGACAGTCGTATGGGTATTCCCTTGTAGGTAACTGAGTTTCTTTCTCTTGCTGCTTTTAAGATTCTATCTTCGTCTTTTGCTCTTGGCATTTTAATTATGATGTGTCTTGGTGTGGTCCTCTTTGGATTCCTTTTGTTTGGGGTTCTCTGCGCTTCCTGGACTTGTAAGTCTACTTCTTTCACCAGGTAGGGGAAGTTTTCTGTCATTATTTCTTCAAATAGGTTTTCGATATCTTGGTCTCTCTCATCTTCTGGCACCCCTATAATTCTGATGTTGGTACGCTTGAAGCTGTCCCAGAGGCTCCTTACACTATCTTCGTATTTTCGGATTCTTTTTTCATTTTGCTTTTCTGGTTGGGTGTTTTTTGCTTCTTCGCTTTTCAAATCTTTGCCTTGATTCTTGCGCTCCTCTGGTCTGCTGTTGGGAGTCTGTATAACATTCGTTATTTCAGTCCATGTATGCTTAATTTCTAGTTGGTTCTTTTTTTTTTTTTTTTTTAATATATTTTATTGATTTTTCACAGAGAGGAAGGGAGAGAGACAGAGAGAGTTAGAAACATCGACGAGAGAGAAACATCAATCAGCTGCCTCTTGCACATCCTGTGCCCGCAACCCAGGCACATGCCCTTGACCGGAACCGAACCCGGGACCTCTCAGTCCGCAGGCTGACGCTCTATCCACTGAGCCAATCCGGCTTCGGCTCTAGTTGGTTCTTTATCACAACAGCGAGGGTCTCATTAGATTTCTTGAGGATCTCAATAACTTTATCGGCGGCTTCTAGACAGTTCTTGAGAGACCTTAAAAGTGTGGTTCTGAACTCAATATCCTCCATTGACAGTTTTGTCCTGTTTCTTTGTCTCCACATTTTTTATGCTTTCTTGGTGCACCCCCTAGTGGTCTTTGTGCGCAGTCTTGTTGTAGTTAAGCCTTGATTGTTGTAGTTAATACTAGGGGGATTTGACCTCCAGGCCAACTGGATGTGAGAATCAGCTGTGTCTGCAGTGGGAAAACTTCTGTCCTCTAGGGAGGTGCTAATCTAGTCTTTGCCTGAGGCTATCTGGCAAATGGCTCCGTGCAGGGCTTGGGCGGGGCAGGTCGCACGGGATCAACAGAGCGGGTGGAGGGAGCAGTTATGGCTGCTCTCAGTCCGGTCCCCAGAGGCTCTGCCTCTCAGAGTCCCAGCAACCGCTACAAACCTCAGAGAGAAAGCTGCCCTCGCGTTCCAACCGATGCCAGACAGTCCCGCTTCTCCCGTTTGAGTCTGGGTCCCTAGAGACTCGCCCAGAACTGGAGCTCAGAATCTGAGACTCCCTCCAGATTGAAAACGACAACCGCGCCCTCAGCTACCAGCCCGCTCCGTGCGTACCTCTGCACCTTCGTATTTTCCGCACTGCACCTCCTCTGAGTCTCGTATGCTGTTCTCTTTCCTTCTAGTTGAAGAATTTCCCCTCAGCCAGTCTTCCTGTGGTTCTGGGCGATGTCCGTCCGTCTTTTAGTTGTATTTGTGAAGTGGTTGTTCGAGGCAGCTAACTCCGGTGTTTACCTATGCCGCCATCTTGGTTTTTCCTGTCGACATATTCCCAGTCTTTATGCTGTTAGGGTCAGTTTGCATATTACCCTTTTACTATATAGGATAGAGGCCTGGTGCACGGGTGGGGGCCGGCTGGTTTGCCCTGAAGGGTGTCCCAGATCAGGGTGGGGGTCCCGCTTGGGTGTCTGGCCAGTCTGCGTGAGGGGCTGATGGGTGGTTGCAGCTGGTCACACCCCCTTCAGGGTGGGCTCTCCACTGGGGTGCCTGGCCAGCCTGGATGAGGGGCTGATGGCTGTTTTCAGGCTGGCCACACCCCCTTCAGGGTGGGGGTCCCCGGCCAGTCTGGGTGAGGGGCT